TGGTTGAGTCTCTGTCACTCCTGGGGGAGATCTGGATGGAATTCTAGCATCTTGGCTTTGGCCTGGTCCATCCCCAGGTGTTGTAAGCAGTTGGGGGAGTGAACCAGATGATGAAAGATCTTTCTCTTTCTTTCTCTCTGTCTCCTTGCTTTTCAAATAAATAAAAACATAGAATAAATTAAAAGTTTGCTTCAGTACAGTAAATTCTGAAAGTTTTTTTATTTTCCACAAACTTCTTGAAAATTTTCCATATGTATGGATTTGAAACTTTTTTGCACCAACATAAACTTATATTTTAATTCCATTTTTCCACACAAGTTTTTGAAGTACCCTCATAAATAAATATATATGCATACATGATTGCATGTTTGATTAGTGTTCATGGGCTCAGGAAACATATGGAACTTGAGAATCATTGTCAAGTTTAACTGACACCATTCAGTAAAATAAAGCAAACTTTTTAATTTGAGAGGCAAAGATATGAGAGCTCTCATCCACTGGCTCATGCCCCAAATGCCTGCAACACCCAGGGCAGGGCCAGGCATACACTGGGAGCCAGGAACTCAATCCAGGACTCCTACGTGGGTGGCAGGAATCAACTACTTGAGCCATGGCCTGCTGCCTCCCAAGGTATGCATTAGCAGGAAGCTGGAATTGGTAACAGAGCCAGAGCTTGAACCCAGGCACTCCTATGTCAGATGTGGGCATCCCAAACAGCATCTTAACCACTAGTCCAAATGACCACACTGAGTTGAGAATTAAAAAAGAAAAAGTTTTAAAGAAAACAAAGATCTAGTGATAAAGCTGACTGGTAGGTCAATCATCAGATTCTAAGTAAAGTGACTTCACTATATTGACATGCCCATAATTCATGAGTGAATCTGAAAACTAAATACAAGCACTTAAAAGGAGACTGAAAACTTGTTACTTACATTTTAATTTTAAAAATAAGGGGGAAAATGCATTGATTAAATCAACTAAGGTTGGAGAAAGTAGAAACAGTGTTGTGATATAACTAAAATGTCACTTTTAGGTTATTTAGACTACATTTTCTCTAGTGGCTATGTGATACTAATTTTTTTCTTGGCATATAAAAACTGTTTTCAGTGATTTTTCTCATCTCTTTAAAAATGTGATAAAAATCTGAAACTTAGTTATCAAACATATACTTGAAATTATATGTTTCAGCAATTAAAATTTTATATAAAGAGATTTAAAATGTATATTTACAGAAATAAAGGAAAGGATAGGAAAGGAAAAAGGAGGGAGAGAGGGAAGGAGAGAGGGACAGAGGAAAGAAGGAAGGTAGATTGGTCTTCCCCAAACTTGAGTACCAAAAAAAAAATCCACATATTTGTTAAATCTTGTTCAATGTGGTACCAGACAAATCCAGCAGATGGCACTCATATTTTTCTAAATATGGTGCTGAATTAAAAGCAGGATTGCTTAAGCTTTGTACTCTCATTTCAGACCAGAAAGACTGAATAAATCATAGAAGGAAACCCATTTCACAATTTTCTATTACCATGGAGAAATAATGCTCTTAAAGTACTCTAATGCACATTCATAGCTTGCAAGCAGAGTACAATTTTCACTTCCTATTCTAGCAGCTGGTGGAAAGTAAATGTTCATAACCATTATCTGCCAATCAACAGCTTGATAATAGAAAGCCATAGTGACCACTGAGAGACCTACAAACTCTTCCCTTGATGGGATGTGGGATCATTATTTTCTTCTACTTTATTTGGATGTTTTTATTTGTTTTTCTACATACATAGATTCTGAAATTAGCAAAAATAACCTCTACCAATTTTTCAGCCAGGTAAACAGAGCCTCAGAAAAAGTGAGGAATGAGATCAATTAACCCAATCAAGAAAGACAATCAACTATAAATTAATCAGTTTCTTTAAAAAATCAATAATTTATACTTAAAACCTTGATTAAGATAGCTTAATTATACACAAGCTAATTCAAGCCATATTCCAACACTTTCTATACTGCAGACAGTAGTCCAGCTTTGAGGGAAAAGCAGTGTGTGATACAACGAATACTTGTGCTCTCATGGAACCTGTATTTTAATGGTGGTAAATGAAGAAGAAAAATAAACAAGAAAGATGTCAGGAAGCATGAGGAGCATGAAGAGAATTTAACTAGGGTGTGAGATAGTGGGACTGTGTGACTTCTTTAAACTGTTTAAAAAAACACTTCTCTGAGGAGGTGACATTTCACTTGAGTGACACAAGCAGCCAGCCATGGAGAACCCAGTGGGAGGAGCACCTCGGCAGAGGGCACACAGCTCATGAGACGATCTGAAGACCAGGACAAGTTAAGCATTTTGGAGGGAAGAAGGTAGGCCTGTGGGGCAAAAGAGGAGTGTGCAAGGAGAAGAATGAATGGCATGAGTTCTGAGAGATAGATGGGAGACAGGACAGGTGAATGAAGCTAGAAAGAACAGAACAGGAGGGCAAGATTCAGGTTAATCAGAGATTCTTCTACATGTTTATCTTTCTGGGAGTTCCTATTAGACCATATTTCTGCATTAGTGAGAACAGAAGAATGAAAATAACTCTTATGATTTGATATTTTAAGCAGGTCCCAGCCTTTGAGCCAGCACCTTAAAAACGAATTACCACAGGATGGCACTGGAAAAATACATCTGTAGGCCGGCGCTGTGGCTCAATAGGCTAATCCTCCGCCTGTGGCGCTGGCACCCTGGGTTCTAGTCCCAGTCCGGGCGCTGGATTCTGTCCCCGTTGCCCCTCTTCCAGGCCAGCTCTCTGCTGTGGCCCGGGAAGGCAGTGGAAGATGGCTCAAGTGCTTGGGCCCTGCACCCCATGGGAGACCAGGAGAAGCACCTGGCTCCTGCCTTCGGATCAGCGGTGCGCCGGCCGCAGTGGCCATTGGAGGGTGAACCAACGGCAAAGGAAGACCTTTCTCTCTGTCTCTCTCTCTCTCTCACTGTCCATTCTGCCTGTCAAAAAAAAAGAAAAAAAAAAAAGAAAAGAAAAGAAAAGAAAAATACATCTGTAGAACATAAAGTGTGATGATGTAGACATTCAGGAAATGCTGAGAAGGTGCATTTTCAATAATACTTGAGTCTGTTTTGTTCTGATTTGCCCCTTTCTTCCTGAATGTAGAAGGACATTCTTAGCTAATGAGAGATTTATATTCACTGATTCTGATTAATCAATGCTTTCTGGGGACCAAAGGGTGATTTAAATAATTCTCAGATTTATCTTCTCATACTTATCAGTTGTGTAAGATTTTAGCATACACAAATTCTAAAAAGCACTATTTTTTTAAAATTTATTTGACAGATAGAGTTAGACAGTGAGAGAGAGAGACAGAGAGAAAGGTCCTCCTTCTGCTGGTTCACCCCCCAAATGGCCGCCACAGCTGAAGCTATGCCGATCCAAAGCCAGGAGCCAGGTGCCTCCCTTCCCCTGGTCTCCCACGCGGGTGCAGGGGCCCAAGCACTTGGGCTACCCTCCACTGTCCTCCCGGGCCACAGCAGAGAGCTGGACTGGAAGAGGAATAACCGGGACTAGAACCTGGTGCCCATATGAGATGCCGGTGCCACAGGCAGAGGATTAATCAAGTGAGCCACAGCGTCGGCCCCAAAAGCAGTATTTTTTAAGGTACATAAAACTGAAGCCCAAACAGCTCATCCATAAATAGAGGCCCACTGCTCTCTGTGACCTCGCACAAATTAGATCATCAATCCAAACCTCAGTTCCTTCTGTAAAAACTTGGCTATATGCTAGGTCTCCATAGACTCAACAAAGAGTTTTGATGTTATTGGATAAAACTGCTTTTATAAATATAACGTTGGTATTTTACTTGGTACCAGATTTTAGCACCAAATTTTAATTGGCACCAGATTTTATAGTTGACCCTGCACTGACCTTTTAACTACCCCTATGTCACCCAATCCCAATCAGGAGCTTCTTTGTCAAAGTCCACAAAAACTCTTTCAACAACCACATTACTTAATGATGACTCGAATTTGCAAATACTTTCTCTAGTAATCACAAAGTCACATTCAGGAATATTCATTAGTAATTATATTTGCATCTATTAAACATAGATTAAGAGGATTTTATTTTAACAAGATTTTATTTACCAACTAATTAGAATAATTTACTATAAGTATAAAAATAATCAATTTAGAATTATTAGAGTAGTGTAACTTTGGCTTGTAAGAAAAAAATAATATCATCTTCTCTCTAAGGGCCTTGTTCACAACAGATATTTGTATCAGTCATTGTTATTAATTTCACATTTTTATTTACTCTCTATTTTCCCAGACATTCAAATTCTGGTACGGTTGATTTCATACCGTCTTTTAAAAGATAACTTCGCCACGTATCAAAAGGAGTGGTTTAAACAGCATTCAGTTCTGACAGCCTTGCTCTTGATGCCCTCCCAGCAGCAGCAAGGAGAGCACTGCCACCAGTTGTGGCTCTCGTGGTCATGCTCTCTTTCTTCCTGTGATTGAAGCAAATAAGAACAACAAGCACCACCCTGCAAAATTCGTCCTCCTGTCTGGTAAACGTGACCTTCCAAACAGTGAGTAACCAACAGACAGAATCCTGATTCTGCCTTACTGAACAGGACAAAGTTCTTAGATTATTTCCTTCATGTATCAGTCAATACTGTCTCAATATTACTCTTTTGTCAAAAGGCATGAAAATCAATAAGAAAATAAAGCTTCTTCATTGATATAATGATTTGAAATCATCACACCAAGACAATTACCTACTTAACCTGAAAATATAATGTTTAGAAAGCACAAATTTAACTAACATTCACTCCTGTCTCAAATAATTTCATAGATAACTTCATCCTTACCAGTCTTCATTAAAAAAAACTGTTGCCTTAAGATAAAAGGGCCACAAAAACTCCAAGACTTAATCCTTGCTTCAGCTAATGACAAAAAAATTTTTTTTTCATTTTTAGTTCATATCCTAAAAAAATTTCCTTGACAGAAAATGTTCTGAACTAGATTCTGAGAGGTAAATGTATTAGGTTATTTTAAGTTTTTCAGAATGACTAAGGGGAGAAGGGGCGGGGTCAAAAAAGAAAAATAAAAGTTTTCCTAAAATACATCAATTTCAAATACTAAAATAATTTTTAGTAAATTGAACAACTTTAAATTTCAAAATTTATGCTATAAAAATATTAGAACAACAGAACACCTTACCCTGGTACAACTAGGATTAAAATCATCTCATATTTATTTCTAATCATGTCACTGTATTGCTACTGTTTTCTGGACTGAAAGTAAATGATTTATTCACAGTAGTGTGACACAATTATGTATGATTGATTGGTATGAAATAGAAAGGGACTTTGTCCTCAGCCAAAGCTAGGAACTGGGCCTGTCCTATGTACACTGTCTGTCCATCTGCAGCTAGCCAGCTGAATGACTGCTTGCCCTTTTGGTAAGAGACTCAAAAGATTTTTCTCAGCACAATTCCCACTCTACAGTAATTACCAATGCCAATTAATTCTGTTCTTTTTAGATTCCATTCAAAATAATGCAATGACCTCAACCTTACCAGACTTTTCACAATCTCATCACGATTTTTAAATTCCAAGAAGAAACAAGCAGGTAGGCAAAATGTTCCTTGGTTCATATTTTTTTAAATAGGAGAAAACACTACTGTTGACAAAACAATGATAGTATAAGACATCTTCCTGATTGTTTATACCTTAAAGCTATTTCTTTGCTTTGCTTTTTCTTCCCATTTCAATAATTAGGCCAAGAAAAGAAGAAAGGAATTTCTAGTCCAGTGGTCATGCTCCACATCCTGTAATTTTACTGTTGTTTTCTTCCTAGCCAAATAGCTCCATTAATCAGCAGGAAAAAAATATGCAGCAAACTATCTATCTATACATTCTAATATTATCCCCAATGGAAAACTGAAAATTGAAGTTGCTTGTGAAAGAACTGTTACATTAAAGAACTATTTTGACATGGCAGGAACCTCAGAGCAGTTATCAGTGTTACTTTGGGTTAGTTTGCACTTCGGTTATAACTAAGTATATGGCAAATTTTATGAATTTACTTAATGAATGGGCATTCATTTGAAAACTGCCTTTCTACACAAAGTCTCGCTTCCAGCGTAATTAAATTCAGCCTGAGCCATATTTTTACTCAGATAATTTCAGTTAATTTTCCTACACAAGAGTTTTATGACTTACTAATTCTTTAAAAAACTAAAAACAGACCTACTCCACGCTGCTATTTTATATTGATGGCGCAGTTTAGCTTTGTGCACTGATTTCTATTGATCGCTGTATTTTCTTTGCTTCAGAGAACTTGTTCTTTTGATTACATTGATTCAAAAAGTTCCAGTTATTTAGACTGACGTCACATGGGCAGTGCTTTGTATTATTCTTTCACCTGGTGCTAAAATCATTATTCATTTGCATATATTAAATTATTTTAAATATTAAAGGATGCATTTCAAGCATTTATGAAAATATTGAGCTCAGTCTTTTCTCATAATTCATATTAAGTCTTATTCTACTATTGAATATTTAACCTAGATATTTTATATATCAGACATGTGAAAGAACAGTGTATCAATAATATAGTATTCTGAATATGTATTCTGCATATATGCCATTGTGTGCTAGCTATATAAATAGGTGGCAGATCTCTAGTTCGTATCAATATTTTAGTTACAATAATGAACAAAAATTATTGGTAAGTGAAAACCCATGCTGCATATTAACAATATGATATACACATAGTAGTAGATATTTACAAAAATTAGAATGTGGGTTGGCAAATGGACTAAAATAAGACAACTGAAGTTGTGATTAATTGCAATAACAATTTCCCACTCCTTTCATATAAAATAGGTTGTAATTCTCTGGAACCATTAATTTTTTCCTTAAGCAAAAATAATTTATTATTAATTTAAATTTTTAAAAATAAAAATAGAAACAGTTCTGAAATGATTTAATCAGAAATTAGTTTTTGTACAGCTCAAAGCACAGTGTTTTAAGTTAGCTAATTTTTTTAAAAGAGTATAGAATATATACACAAAAGTTGTGTCAAAGTGAGAATTGCTGTGAAATTAGACCTAAGCACTTTATCTTAATGTCAGTAGATACAAGACATTTGTAAAAATGTCATATTTGACAGTAAATTAATTCAACTCCAACTACAAAAGAGAACACGTTTCTAACATTAGCACTCAGTACTTTAAAATGTTTTTCCCAAGTAAGTTTTTCCCCCATCCCACCTATTCCAATTTAAGGTCATTAAAATATTTATTTATTTATTTGAAATGCAGACTTATAGGGGGAAAGAAAGAGACAAAAAGATATTGTCTCTTTGCTGGTTAACTCCCCAAATGTCTACAACGGCTGGGGCTGGGCCCAGCCAAACCAAAGCCAGAAGCCAGGCTTCTTCCAGGTCTCCCATGTGGCTAATCACTCAGACCATTCTCTGCTGCTTTCTCAGACACATTAGCAGGGAACTGGATGAGAAGTAGACCAGCCTGGACACAAATGGGCACCCATATAGGATGCTGGCATCACAGGCAGCAGCTTTACCCACTACGCCACAACAGCAAAGCCTAAGGTCTTTTTGAACAGTTTCAACACACTTTTAAACACTGGTGAAAATATACTTTTCTGCCTAGTCAGTAGTGGTACCAGCAGAAAGACAAGGGACATTGAAAATTTGGAAGTACTATCATGTTGAATCCAATCATGAGTCTCCTATTTTCAGTCACAATGTTCAGGCCATAAGCAAGGATGAGTTCTGGTAGCCATAAGGAGATTATCTTTTTTTTTTAAGTGTTTTTTTTACTTATTTATTTATTTATTTTTATTATTTTTTATTTTTATTTGTTTATTTATATGACAGGTAGAGTTATAGACAGTGAGAGAGAGACAGAGAGAAAGGTCTTCCTTCCATTGGTTTACTCCCCAAATGGCCACTACGGCCGGCGCTGCACCAATCTGAAGCCAGGAGCCAGGTGCTTCCTCCTGGTCTCCTATGCTGATGCAGGGCCCAAGCACTTGGGCCATCCTCCACTGCCCTCCTGGGCCACAGCAGAGAGCTGGACTGGAAGAGGAATAACCGGGACTAGAACCCAGTGCCCATATGGGATGCTGGTGCCGCAGGCGGAGGATTAACCAAGTGAGCCACAGCGCTGGCCCTGGAGATGATGTACTTCTGCCAGTGGATAATTTATTTTATTCTAACCAACACTGGCACTAGGAAGAAAAGCAACAGGCAAAGAGTGCTAGAAAACAGCTGTAGCTGCCTTAGACCTTACAGACGCCACAGAAAATGGAGAAAACTGGCTTTTGCAGATGAAGAGTCTCGGAGGAACTTATCAACACATATTTTATGTTTAATGAAGGATTAGAATGAAAGTAAGCACCACTGCTGGTGGAAACAGCACCAACAAAATTAGGTCAATAATCTGAGTGTTTTTTCCTATGTAAGTTCAACTGGACCCAAGGTAAGCTACAACAAAGAATGAAAACTACAGATGAGAAAAAACAGATAAGCTTCAGGGTCAGGGAAATCCAAGAAGCCTGGGAACACAAAATCTATTTCTCCTTTCTCTTCCTTTAGAAACAAAATCATATACAAGAACCCATAAAGTTCCGGTGAGTAACAAGACAAAAATTATTTTAATATACTAGCAAATTAATTCTATATATTAACAACTTTGAGCATTCTAGAACTCAAGTTTTTCACAAGAATCCTTTATAATGGGTGCCAACCATGTATCTATTACAAGATTTGATTCTATAATGCTTTCATCCAAATTCAGGTGACTGATTCTCTAAGTTATTCATCTTCCTGAAGACCTTTCTGTGCCAATGTCTGAAAAAAAATATTTATAAGGAAAATTAAATTCTAATATAGGAATTATATAAAATTTACCTACATACAGCACAATAACTCTAAACATCTCTTTTTTTCTAAATATTTGCTTATTTTCATCTATTTGAAAGGCAGAGTGACAGAAAGGTAGAGAAAGGGAGGGAGAAGTGAGGGAGAGAAAAGGAGGGAGACAAAGGGAGAGATCTTACATCAGCTATTTCACTCCCCAGACGCTTGTAAGTCAGGCTGGGTCAGGCTGAAGCCAGGAGCCAGGAACTCATCTGAGTCTTCTGCCTTGGTAGGGGCCCAAGCGTTTGAGCCATCACCTGCTGCCTCCTAGGATGCATTAGCAGGATGCCAGATTGGAAGTGGAGGAACTGAGACTTGAACCAGCACTTTGATATGGGATGCAGGCATAGCAAGAGGCGGTTTAACCTACTGTGCCACAATGCCCACACCTAAACTCAAATGAATTATAGTTTCACAAGTTTTCATAGAAAATACAAATCCAAACATAACCTATTTGAACATATTTGAACAAGAAAATGTTTACAGGAAATAAACACGAAGCAAAATTTAAAATATCAAATTAAAATTATATTTTATCATACTTGAAAGCTATGTATGTCCTCTGTTAACACAGAACATGGCAAACACTATGTTCATTTTATCAATAACCAAATAATTGAAAGCAAATAAAATCTCCAACACAATGTGAAAATAAGTCTTCAATAATTGAATCCAAAGTTTTGACATCATAGAAATCTGCACTAGGGACGGCACTGTGGCATAGCAGGTAAAGCCACTGCCTACAATGCCACCAGCCCACATGGCCGTCGATTCAAGTCCCGGCTGCTCCACTTCCAACCCAGCTCCCTGCTGATGCTCCTGGAAAAGCAGTGGAGGATGGTCTAAGTCCTTGGGCCCCTGCACTCATGTGGGAGTCCCAGAAAAAGCTCTTGGCTCCTGGCTTTGGATCACTCCAGCAGCAGCCATTGCAGCCATTTGGAGAGTGAATCAGCGGATGGAAGACCTACCTCTCTCTCTCTCTCTCTTTCTGCTTTTGCCTCTCTGTAACTGCCTTTCCAATAAATAAATAAATCTTTTAAAAAAAACCATATGTAAAAAATAGAAATCTGCACTGACAAAGTTTTAAGATCAAATATTATAAAAGTATAATTTATGCCTATCAAAAACAAAAAGTTTTTAGGCCGGCGCCGCGGCTCACTAGGCTAATCCTCCGCCTAGCGGCGCCGGCACACCGGGTTCTAGTCCCGGTTGGGGCGCCGGATTCTGTCCCGGTTGCCCCTCTTCCAGGCCAGCCCTCTGCTGTGGTCAGGGAGTGCAGTGGAGGATGGCCCAAGTGCTTGGGCCCTGCACCCCATGGGAGACCAGGAAAAGCACTTGGCTCCTGGCTCCTGCCATCGGATCGGCGCGGCGGCGGCCATTGGAGGGTGAACCAACAGCAAAGGAAGACCTTTCTCTCTGTCTCTCTCTCTCACTGTCCACTCTGCCTGTCAAAAAAAAAAGTTTTTAAGCATTATGGTAGTTAAACTCCTTTAGTGCATTAATCCTCTAGTTGTAGCTTCAGTCAAGGAAATGTGAGGTCAGATTTGTATTTTTTTCAACTTAGTTTGAAACTGTACATATTCTCTTTGACTAAAACTTGCTTTATGTAGAACATTAACTATCAGGAACTAAAAACATTTCATGGAATTATATCTTGACCTTAGGGTTTTTTTTTTTTTTTTTTTTCAGTTACATTTTTTTTTCTGCAGAGGAGCAAAATACCAATACAAGAATATGTACATCAATAAAACCATTCTTACCAGTAGGCAAAATAATGCTTAATAGAAGTTAAACAGTCAATGATAGCTTACCAACTCCAAAAATTCTATTTCTGTTTGCAGAGCTTCATAAATACTTTCCAAGTCATCTTCCTTATAAAGTTCTAATTCTTTTTTAAGTCTGTTTTAAAAGAAAATGTGCCTTATTAGTTCAATAGTAAATTGTTTTATATATTTTTTATTATACAAAAAATGGCTGGTTATAGTTTCTATAACAGAATTCAAGGTAAAACTAAAGAACTTGGAAATTTTAATTCTCTGTAACACCATAAGGCTCACATAAAATTTGGGGGAAAAACCATTTATAAGAAAAATAAATTAGGGAAGGGCATTTGGTACCATGGTTAGGATGCTGCTTAAGAAACCTGTATTCCATATTGGAGTCCCTAGGTTCAAGTCTGAGCTCTGCTCTCAATTCTAAAGTCCCATTCATGCTGCACCCATGGTGGAAGCAGATGAGGACTCAAGTGCTTGAATTTCCCAGCTGTGTGGGAGATGCGACTGGAGGTCCTGGTTCCTGCTTGGGTTTGGTATAGTCCCAGTTGTTGTGGCCATCTGAGGAGTGAACCAGTATATATGAGATCTCTGTCTTTCTTTCTCTCTCCCCCTCTTTCTCTTCCTCTAAAATAAATGTTTTTTTAAATAAAAAACATTTTTTAAATAAAAACATTTTAAAGGAAAAAAAGGAATACTGAATAGAAAATAAGCATTTTATATTTTAACATAATTCAAGAAGCACTGCTGTAATAGGAAAAATATAGCACTATATCTGAAGACCTCTATTTTAGTTCTGGCCATTAATAAACTTAACACGCTGAAATTATTGAGTTTCTCTGAACCTCACCTGAAAATTTTTAAGTATGGAAAGAAAATTATTTCTGAGATTATTTCTTGCTCTAATACTAAATGACAAGTTTATGCAGAATATATAATTAAAATGTATTTTAATCTGAGACTGAGAAAACAATATCAATGTTCCTTTTACCCAATTATCTTTAATCCTTTAAATATTCAGATGTTTAAGTCATTTTATGTTTGTATTTAATGTGAGAGGTTTTTTATTGTAGCGCTTTGTTTAACATTTCTTCCAAAAATAAAATTACAAATAAAATCTAAGAGCTGTGGCTGGAGACTGAAACCAGGAATCTGGGCGTTCGAAGCTGCCCCGAGGGCAGAGAGTAAGAGCAGCTCTAGCTCACAAATCTAAGCTACTCTTGGGCCAGCAACATGGTGAAAAGCACAGAACAACTTGAACCTTTGCTGAACCACAGCACTCAAGGGGAAACTGAAGGGATCCTAGACAGCAGTATTCCCCAGATACAAGCCAAAGCAAAATAAGAGCCTCTCCAAAGGAAACTTTTAAAAAATTAGACCAATACGTCTCCCACAGATTGAAAACAAATAATGAGCATACAATAAAAAAATCACTACCCAACTAACAAAGCCACTATGAGTAAAAGTCAGCAACAACAGGAGGTACCACATAATACCTATCACATGAAAACTAAAATCCCTTCAGATAAAGAGAACACCATGGAAATGTGCACCAAACAAAAAACTAAGTTTTTAACAGGTCATTCATAAAAAGATATTTGATGGCTAATAAAAATATGAATTGGTGCTCAACTTCATTAATGATCAGAGAAATACAATGGAAAATACAACAAAATATTCCTAAATATCCACCAGAAAAGCTAAAACGAAAAATAGGCAATAGTAAGTGCTGACAAGTATATGAAGAAACTAGAACTTTCAAAACTGACACAAAATGATACTTTCCATTCTGTTTAACCGATTTACATCATATTTAAAATAGATTTCTAATGGAAATCATATAGTTGTGTCTTACTCCTTCATCTAACATGATAATTTCTGTCTTTTAGTGGGCAAGTCCATATGATTTATATTTAGTATGGTTATATGGCTGGATTAAAATATAGCACTTATCTAATTGTCTTCAATTTGCTCCATCTGCTCCTTCCTTTTTGTTTTCCCTTCTGCTTCCATTTGGATTAATATTTTCTCATTACTGTATTTTTATATTCCCCATTATTTATAGCTATTTTTTAATTTCATAGAGCTTGGACTGCTGTTATGGCACAGAATCAAGCTGCCGCTTGCAACGCCTGCATGCTGTATCAGAGTGCTAGTTTGAGTCTTGGCTGCTCTGCTTCTGATCCTGCTCCCTGCTAATACACCTGGGAAGGCAGTGGAAGATGGCCCAAGGACTTGGAACCCTTCCACCTCTGTGGGAGATCCAGATGGAGTTCCTGGCTCCTAGCTTCTTCCTGGATGAGACCTGAGTGTTGGGAATATTTCAGGAGAGAACCAATGGACAGAAGATCTCTGTCTCTCCCTCTCTCTGTGTTGCTCTTTCAAATAAATAATTCCTTTTTAAAAAGCTCAATATGTAACTTCAGTTTATTACTGTGTACTCTCAACTAGTAAAATACAGCTGCACTTACATAAGAACCGTACAACAGTACATTTCCAATTCCACCTTTCCATTTTTTTCTATTATCATCATATATTTTCTTTTACATATGCTATAAACCTAAAATGTTGATACTATTTTTGCTTTAGTCATTTATCTTTTAGAGCAATTAAAAATGAAAAGGGGCTATTTTTGCTTCCCTTCATCTTAACCCTTCCTGAAGGTTGTTTCTTTGTATAGCTCAGCTCTGAGTTTCTATCTGACATCATATTACCTCTTCCTGAAAATTTTGCCATAGCTTATATTTGTAGGACAATCTGTTGGCAAGCAATTAAATCAACATGTATTTGTCTAAAAATATATTAATTTGCCTTCATTTCTGAAAGGTATTTTCACTGAGAGTTCTGAATTGGTAGCTCTTGATTGGATTAAGATGTTAGTCCCTTTTCTTCTGATTTGCGTGACTTCTAATCAGAATCTACTGTAATTCTTTATTTTTTTAAGATGTTATTTGAAAGGAAAGTAATGGGGGGTGGGGCAGGGAGAGACACAAAGAGAAAGAGAGAGATATCCCATCCACTGGTTCCCTCCCAAGGAGGCTGCAACAGCAAGGTCTAGGCCAGGCCAATGCCAGGAGCCAGAAACTCCATCTGGGTCTCCTATCTGGATTTCAGAAGCCCAAGAACTTTGCCCACCTTCTGCTGCCTTTCTAGGCTCATTAGCAGGAAGCTGGATCAGGAGCAGAGCAGTTGGGATTTGAACTCTAGTATGGGATGCTGGCATCACAAATGCCAGTAAGCCAGCCCCCAGTCCACCAAAATCCTCACTTTCCTTCCCTTGTATGAAGTGTGTCTTCTTTCTTCACCTGCATCATGATTTCCCTTTTATCTTTTTTTTAATTCCATAAACTCTATAAATTGTTGCAATTTATAAGAATTCAGGAAGGTTACCAGATGAATTTTTTTTCTTTCTTTTCTTAAAAGATTTATATATTTATTTATTTGAGAGGCAGAGTTAGAGAGAGACAGAGACAGAGAGAGAGAGAGAGAGAGAGAGAGAGAGAGAGATCCTCCATCCACTCTTTCACCCACAAAGGGCCACAATGAATGGAGCTGAGCTAATCTGAAGCCAGGAGCCAGGAGCTTCTTCTGGGTCTCTCCCATGGGTGCAGGGGCCTAAGCATTTGGGCAATTTTCCAATGATTTTCCAGGCCATTTACAGGGTGTTGGATTGGAAGTGGAGCAGCCGGGACATGAACTGGCACCCATATGTGATACTGGCGCTGCAGGTGGAGGTTTAACCAATAACGCCACAGTGCCACGACCCCTCTTTTTAAGGGGTTCAAATACCATGTATATAGATTTTTTATAGTACTTGGGACTCTTTGAGATTTTTACATTTGTGAAGTAAAGTATTTCTTTACTTCTATAAAGTTTCCTGCCATTATCTCTGACATACAGAACAGTATGTATGAATCTCAAATGCAATATACTACATTTTAAAAGGCCAGACTTAAGAGGCTACACTGCACATCATTCCATTTATGTTACAAATGGAAAGGGGAAGATTAGGAAAAGAAAATAAATTAGGGCCAGGAGTGGATTGCAGGCAATTATTACAAAAGAGCAAGAGGATACATTCTGGCATAACTGAATAATCTATATCATGATTGTGACAGAAGTTGCATGACTGAAGTGTTTGCCAACTGGGAACTGTACACTAAAAAGGTGAATTTACTATATGTAAACTATATTAACAAGACTGTCTTTTAAAAGGTAATAACAAGAGTCCAGTGGCTATGGCATAGTGGGTTAAGCCTCTGCCTCTAACACCCACGTCCTACATGGACATCATTTCAATTCCTAACTGCTCTACTTCCCATCCAGTTCCCTGCTAATGCACCTAGGAAAGCAGTGGGAAATGGCCCAAGTGCTTTGGGCCCTTGTACCCACATGGGAGACCCAGAAGATCCTGGCTCCTGGCTTCACATCAACCCAGCTCGGGCCGTTGCAGCCATTTGATGAGTGAACCAGCAGATAGAAGATTCTCTCTCTCTTTCTCTCTCCTTCTTTCTCTCCCTTTATCTCTAACTCTGCCTTTCAAATAAAATAAATAAACCTAAATAACAACAAAAACCTAAGAGTTCAGGTACTATAGGAATACAAGTCATCTAAATTTTTTAAAAAATCTGAAAATCAAATAAAATAACCAAAAAGCCATATAAGCTAGCTAGCAAAGAAAAGGCATCACAAACTTGAAATTACATGTAGTAGTGAAGTAAACATCTAAATCCTGGGGAACCCACTCTGAGGCCTACACCAAAGGGAGACAGGTAAGTAGCAATTATATTAAAGAGAGGATAAAGGAAAAGGAAGCCTAGAGGGGATGAAACAGAGATTTAGTGACCCTAAAAAAGTGAAATTCTGGTCTTGGTAGAGAAAATACCGAGAACAGGCCTGAACACTCAGGTACTGGCTTCTGTGACTGAAGGAAGTTTTTAAAATTAATGGTTCTCATCTTTTGCATGGGAAAGGCCTTTTGATTTTTGACTTCATAACTTTTGTTCTTCCTGGGTACTTAATTTACATTTTCTTCCTTCTTGTCTTTAAAGAAGTTTGTCTTCCAAATTGTCTATTTCTCAGCCAATAACCATAGCTGAAAGGGAGAAAAGTTTTCTTTCATTTTGTTACAGAAGATGTTTTTCAAAGAACTAGATTATGAACATATGAAGCAAAACACTTTAAGAGACCATAATGATCTCACAACTACATAAATTGGTCCATAGTATACAAAAATATAAGGAAAACTGCCAACTTCTTTTCTTCAAGCAAATATAACATTGATACCTAAATCCAACAAAGATATTACACAGGGGTGGGCATTTGACCCAGTGGTAAAGATGTTGTTTAAAATACCCAAATGTCCTAGCAAAGTACCTAGGTCCATGTCCCAATTCCAATTCCAATCCAGCTTTTTGCTAAAATAGACCCTGGGAGGTAGCAACTGATAACTCAAGTAGTTGGGTACCTGTCATCCTCATGGGAGACCTGAACTGAGTTTCCAACTCCCATTGGTGGCATGACCCAGTCCCAGCCATTGCAACATTCGAGGAGTGAATCAGCTGATGGGAGCTCTCTCTGCCTGTCTCTCAAATCTCTCTCTCTCCATCTGTCTCTTTCCTCTCAAATAAAAAGAAAAGGCAATTTTAAAAATATAGTGCCTATATACACATCTGTGAATACTGATGTAGAAATTCAAATATCAGCAAAAAGAATCCAGTATCACATTAAGAACATACTGTGATCAATTTGGATTTATTCAAGGAATTATTGCCAGTTCCTATTAGAAATTCATTAATATAATTGACCAATACTAATATCTCCAAGGAAAAAAAACAGTATTATTTATGATGGTTCTCAAGTAAGCACTTCATTTCCTGGTAAAACACAGTATTTTCTGTATATAAAGATAATTGAAAATGAATCTTGATGTGAATGGAAGGGGAGAGGGGTCGGGAGGGGGGGTTGCAGGTGGGAGGGAAGTGATGGGGGGGAAAAAGCCATTGTAATCTATAAGCTGTACTTTGGAAATTTATATTCATTAAATAAAAATTTAAAAAAAACCACTGTGGTCAATCTCTTTAAATTTGGGATCTAGAAAGACCACTGTCTGTTATTTTCTAATACCTTGTTAGAGGAACTAGCCACTTAAATCAGTCTATAGAAAATAACTAAGGGGTTGGCACTGTGGCTTAGTGGGTAAAGCCTGCAGTGTCAGCATCCCATGTAGGTGTGGTTCAAACCCCAGCTGCTCCTCTTCGGATCTAGCTCTTTGCTGTGGCCTGGGAAAGCAGTAGAATATGGCCCAAGTGCTTGGGCCCCTGCACCGATATAGGAGACCCAGAAGAACCTCCTGGCTCCTGGTTTCAGATTGGCCCAGCTCTCGCCATCCAGCCATTTGGAGAATGAACAAAAAAAAACAAAAACAAAAAAAAAACAAAAAAAAAAAAACAAAAAAAACAAAACTAAAAGACATAAAGAAGAAATAAAGCTACTTTGGTTTTCAGGAGATATGACAACATACCCAGAAAACTCAAGAGAATTAATGAGAAAACACAATAAGATAATTTAGTAAGGTAGCAAGATAAAAATAAAAAATAGGCTTCACACTCACCCATAATAACTAAAGCACTATTTCTAACAGTATTTAAAACTACAAGTTACCTAACAATAAAACTCACAAAATATGTTCCACATTGATAAGTATAAACTTCCATTAAAAGTTATTAATTAAGACTTGAATAGATAGAAATATCCTAAGCTCATAGACAGCAATTCTCAGTAATACAGTTATAAATTCTCCCAAAAGTGACCATAAAATGAGTTTAACTATAATCAAAATCCTAAAATATTTTCATGGATATGATAAAGTTGATTCAGAAATTATACTAAAAAGCAAAGGATAACCAAGACATTCCCAATCAATACACAAAATTGGTGCAGAAGATATCCTACCTATATCAAAATTCATTACAAAGTAACAGTAACTAGGGGTCGGCACTATGGTGTAGGGGGCTAAGCCTCCACCTGCAGTGCCAGAATCCCATTTGGGTGCCAGTTCATGTCCTGGCTGTTCCTCTTCCAATCCAGCTCTGTGCTATGGCCTGGGAAAGCCGCAGCAGATGGCCCAGGTGCTTGGACCCCTGCACCTGCATGGCAGACCCAGAAGAAGCTCCTGCTGTTGGCTTTGGATTGGCTCAGCTCCAGCCATTGTGGCCATCTGGGAAGTAAACCAGTGGATAGAAGACCTTTCTGTCTCTCTCTCTCTCTCTGTCTGTAATTT